TCGTCAAGGATGAACGGAAAGGAACGGGGATGAGGGGGCTGGCGAGGTGGTTAGGGAGGGGGTGTCGTGAGGGAAACGAGGCGATCAGGACGGGAGCTAGCGACGATGAACGCAGACCAACATGACACCGCTCTTTTGCCTCATCTCCCGCCCCCCCCGTGTTTACCGTACCTCTCGTGTTTCGTCCATGTTTACTGGGAGTCGCTCTGGCGGACCTCGTGTCACAGACATTGTCGGGCGCCCTTGCCCATTTTCGTAGCCAAAAGGTCCTCCCCCCGTCCGAGAAGATGCCAGCGAGACACGCGCCGTCGACGATGGGGAGGGAGAAGGGAGGGGGTGGGCAGCGGAACAGGAGAGCTCACGAAGCCCACCCGGCCCTGTCTCGCGCTTCCTGCGGTTCACGATAATATTTTTATCTTTATTTTATTTCACTTGCTGGGCGCGCTCTTGTTGTCTCCAACGAAGGACGTTGACTCATGCTCTTCCCCTATCCCTTACTTCTTCTCTATTCCTTCTCGGGGTTGGCGATGTGCACCCCGTACTATACATGGAACTGTTGCTGCATGCAGGAGGTTCGCCTCACTTTTCTTTTTTAAGGGGGGGGGGGGGTACGGGTGGCTATTGAAGAGGGGGGGAAAGAACCGCAATCCATTGTTTGTCTTGGGCACCAATGCCTCCGACGACGAGAAATAGGTTCAGTTCCGGGTTGCGTTTGCATTGCATAACGGAGGGTAGCCTCTTTGTCATATCCATCGCGGGAGACACGCACACAAGGGCGGGCACGGGTGGAGGGGCGAGAGCTTCAAGGGACGCAGCTAGTGATGTCTGACATCGCAAACATGTGCTGCAATAGTAGCAGACAGCAGAGCAGAGAAGCAGGCAGGCGAACCCGACGAACCTCAAGTCTTCTGCACACGCCCATCTGGCCACTCCATCCTTCGTTGTCGCCTATCTGCTGCATCTGCATCTGCACAACCGACGTGGCGACCCGCTCGCGTGTCATGTACTCGAACATACAAAGCAAATACGACCATGTACCGCAACCCCCCCCCCCCCCCCCCCCCTTCTTTACCCCCTCCTTCTCCTTCTCTCCCCTCCCTCTCTCTCTGTGTCTCGGTCCCGGTTTTCCCAGCTCGGAGATTTAGAGTGGTTCCCACCTACGAGCGGCCGGGGGGCTGCCGCATCGTGCAGTAGATCGGAGCCCGAGCCGCCATGTCGTCCCATCCCATGCTTGAAAGGCCAGGGAAGGGGTGAATGCGGGATACCTTTCAGGGCCCTGGGGCCTAGTCTATTCCCATTCGGCCGACATCCCCGGGACCCCCTTGGCCTCCCGGCCGTAGGCCCCCAGTTCCATGGTTCGCCGCCGTCGCCGTCGCCGCCGCTGCGTTTTCAAATCCGACTACTTGAGCGCGTACATCCGAACCGGGAACAGTTCCTTGGGAAAGCCACGTTGCAGTTCCGTCTTTATGAGGCGGAGACCCGCTTGTTCGAAGAGGGCGCGGAACTTGTCATCCACCCTGCTTTGCATCAGTATCTGTACATGCAGGTGTCTTGCATGCAAGCAAACTGCCCAGCCCTGCGGGTCGTTGGGGTGAGAGGAGGAGAGGAAGAGAGGGAGTGAGAGAAAACAAGGCAGGCAGAGCGGTAGAATCATTTCAACAGAATGGTGGTTGGAGAGGGAGGCCAGGGCAAACACCTTGGCAAGGGCGAGCGAGGGTGCCTGTGAGTTACTCACCTCGTGACGCTGCTGTCAACCTCGTCGAACAGATCGACGCCGCTAGTGCTCAGGTTCTCTTTGACGACGATGAGACCGTCATTGGGGGCAACCACTTGCTTGCAACGACGCATGTAGTCAACGAGCTGGTCGTCGGTCAGATGGCCCAGGCACCATTGGTTCCAGACAAGGTCGTATGAGGTGCCCTCGAGGGGTCTCCACTCCTCGAGGCCGATGTTAAACACAGACCCGACGCCGGGTTTCTCCCGGAGAGCAGCGGTGAACTTTGCAATGGGCTCGACGACGTCAACCTGTTGGGCTACATCGAGTAGGAAACCTTCGGTGATGCGACCGATGCTGGGGGGAGGGGGGGCTGGTGTTAGCATGGATGCATGGTACGGAGACTTGAGCCGACGAGACAGGGGTATTGAGTCGATGCAGTGTACGAATACGTATATGGGACGGTGAGAAGTCCCCAGCATCAGAGGCCAAGGCAAACCATTAGTTCGGCCCGCTCGTGCATTGTTGCGGTTATGGTGGTGGGTTAGGGGAGAGAGTGCAGAGGAGTGAGACAGGAAAAGAGGATAGGGAGTGAAGATTGAAGAAAGATGAGAGGCGGTGAGATGGATAATGAGATGGCGGTGAGGAAAGAAAAATACGGGGGGCGTGTATCGTGCTCACGATGCCAGGGCGATATATGGCAAGCCACGCGACAAGGAAGAAAACCACATGGCGCAATGTACAGGTACACCGGCCAGAATTGGACAGACAGCAAGAGGACAGAAAACAACGATGCAATGCAAACAGAACTAACACTCACCCGGCCCCGCCTTCCAGAGCGCGGCTCACCGGCCGCAGACCGCTCTTCGAGCCAATGCCCAGTTTGGCAAGAAAGTTACGCGAGCCCTGCAGGTCGACCTTGCTGATGTAGGGGAAACCGCCCAGCATGCCGTTGACATCGGCATCGACGCCCTGCCAGTAGGACCGGCCATCGGCGGCGCTGATCTTGGCGTCTGGCGGCGGTGTGGATGATGTCTGTACTGATGCTGACGCCGCCGTCGGCGCTGCGGCTGTGGCTGTGGCTGTGGCTGCCTCTCGGTTGCTGGTGGGCATTGTCATCCCTTCGGATGTGTGTGAGTGTGTGGTTGTTTGATAGGTCGGCGTGGTGATGAAGAAGAAAAAGAAGAATAAGAAGACTTGAGGAAGGTTTGTGTCACCTTGTTGAAGAACAGGTGCATTGGTTGCATTCACATACATACGATGGTGGACGGGGGAAGTGGACCGTGTACGGATAGACGGAGAAAGAACCCTCCCTCGGTTTGATGCATTGTGCTCGTTTTAGTGGGAAATGTTCGTGGGCTTAAATGAATATTCGAATGGCCTCAGCCCCCAAAAGGAAGCGATTCATCTAAGCAGTTTGCACCGCATCGCACCTACCAACTCGGGACGAGGCGAGAATTGTCGTCATCTTCATGGGAAACTAAGGTTGGAGCCAAGGTTAGAACTCGCAACTCTATCTCAGCCGTCGTCATCAGCCGTTCGTCGCCCCTTGCGCCTCCTAGAGTTATTAGCTGAAATATTCCCCGAGGTTTCTCCCTTTTTGCTTTTGTCACGATAGTCATCTGATCCTTGTGCTAACTCAATATCAGCTCTTGCAGGTGCCAAACAAGCCTTTACCACAACCCTCCATGACTTCAATACCAGCGAAGGGTCTCCGGAGCGTGCCTTTCTGATATATTCCATCTTGCATTATGGCACTGATCGTGTCCGAACCAGCCTGCTGCTAATATCCTACTATTAGTCATCTTCTCTGCATGATCTGGTCCCTTATGCGCGTAATAGTCAAGACGAGGGAGGCATGTTGGAATCCTCAACATGATGACACCATCACTCCTTCTTGATCATCTGCATCCTCTAAACTTTTGGGAATTGGCTAGTTGGCTTCGTTTTCCCCTCTGGAAGCCTTCTACGGCAAGACGAGAACTGTTTAACAATCGCCATTGATCAACGTCACTGCCTCCAGATGCGTCGGACCGCACCAATCTATTGACATCGATATGGTGGGAAGTGTCTCACTAAGCGGTCTCAGTTACGAGATGAAACGGTCCTCCCAGAAAGGACGTCGAGACGGAGAACCGCTTATCTCCCAGACGACCGTTGGAGACGATCTCGAGGGAACACGCCACTGTGACGCGAAGCCTTTCACGTTACATCTCGCAGCCCGGGCAAGGCTTGTCCATTGACGAAGACCTGGGAACCGGAACTTCCATACATGATCTGATAGGCCGCACTGTGGCCTGTGTCTCGGGTTTGTAGCTGGTCCTCCAAATACCAACCAATCTACGATTGGGGCCAGGAATCCGGGGGTGCGTGCCAAGAGCCGTAACCAACTTGCAACCGATATACGACACCAAGTACTTGGAACATGAGATCCTCCGATTCATGGATGGTCTTGTTTCCTTATTTGTAAGGCGTACCCTGGACGGCTCGGACGTTGCCGGTGCCTCGTCTGGATCTTTTGACCTTAACAATCATGCGATGCTTGAGGCAACACAGCCCACCTCCGAGGTGTGTTGTGGTGCATTCTAGACAGCTTGGCAATGGAGGCATTTCAGCTGAACGCAACGCCGTTACTTGCTGTTCCTCTCCTACACACCACCGCGTTTGCGATACGAGTTGGGGGTCCGAACGTCAGAGGTGCAGAACCTCTTGGCTTCCTGCGGGGGACGGAGGCTGCTAATCGCGCAAGGAAGACACCCTGAATGATACTCAGCTTGCCAGCGCATCGGTCGTTCGTTCGGTTCTCGGCAGACCTCGTGGCTGTGCCTGCTATCCCGGATTGATAGATGCCCGCCTCTCAAGAACCGCATCATCAAATGATTGGCCGACGACGGCATGGACCAGCCGTACTAGCTGCATATGTCGATTCTCCTTTGCAACAAAAAGTAGAAATCGAACCCCTCTCAGTTTCGAGAATAACACCGGTGCTGACTTAATTGCATGGATGCAAGCTGCCAAATCTACCAATGTATGCCTTCGGCATCCGTCACTCTACCCTAGCTATTTGTCAGTCGCACATACAGCATTTTACGAAGTGTATGCTATCCAGGAGGTATCACCTTGTCCCGCCTATCAAATCTCGTCATTTTCTGTTTGAGTCGCCGACAACCATGCGATGAGCAATGCTGGGAGGGTGATGGGCAATGCTTGGGGTGCAATGGAAACTGCCGAGAGGGTGATGAACAAGACTGGACGACACGATCTAGTGTGTGATGGTTAGACCTCCTTCGCCTCTTTTGCCATGTCTCGCAGCACTGGCCCAGTCTGCAGGCACGTCGAAAAGCTTATTGCCTTCAAACGTGAAAACGCGGCTAGGGGTGGCAGGGGCACGAGCCAGGTCGATCACCCGTACCCAAGGCTAATTCTATGGGGTTCCCTCAAGATTCCCGTTCGCTTATTCTGGATACCACCACGACTAGCTACGTAGTAGATGAGGCGGCGACCTTGCTGTTTCGAATCAGGCATGAACAACGCTGCACAGCGTGTGGTTGTGAGAGGACCTTGGCGCGCGGCATGATACAAGCAGGGTGAGAGGCTAACGACATCGGACAATGGGACAGAGTTTCGGACATGGGACGACAATGGACCGAGTCCCGAAGTGACTCTCTGCTGTAGCCTGACCTCAACACGACTACTATCTTGAAGGCGAAGAAGGTGGGAATATCAATAACCGCTTTCTGATGTTTTGGGTGGGAGGCTCTGCGCCCAGCACACTGATATCTATCTTGCTAGACTGGTTTCAGAGTTGGTTGGCCACGCTGCCTTAACATGTTCGCCCTTGGTCCGATCACCACCCTATTCAGGTCTATGTTTGGAACCAGAATGAAGCGAGTACATAAAGATACGTCTGCTGCCTCTTTTACGGGGTGGGTTTTGATTTGTTCGACAGAAGGCCTGACGGAATCTAATTTAACACAGACATTCTCTCAGATACGCTTACTCAGACTCAGCCCGATAGATACAACAAATACTTACTCAATTTCGGTTCACTTCAGTCCATCAAAATGAAGCTCCTCACACTCGGCATCGTCCTGGCTTCGACCATTGTTAGCGTCAGCAGTCTTCCGACTGATACTGACAGCAGGGCTGTCGGGTACGTTCACACCAAGCTTACCATAAACCGAGTCGGCTCGTTAACCCCTTCACAGCTTCCAAAACAACCATGACCAGCAATTGGAGGATCGTGAAGAGCGCAAGGGTGTTCGCGACATCTTCGTTCCCTCCTTTGCCGGCGTCGATACCACTACTGGCGTGCTCGCGGACCACCAGAGAGGCGATGGCGCAGTTCCCCTCCGTGCCCGGCAGCTCCTGAAGAAAAACGCCAAGGGAAAGGCTGCCGGGGGCAAAGCAGCTCAGGGAAAGGCTGCCCGGGGGAAGGCTGCCGGGGGCAAAGCAGCTCAGGGAAAGGCTGCCCGGGGGAAGGCTGCCGGGGGCAAAGCAGCTCAGGGAAAGGCCGCTAAGGGCAAGGCCGCAGCTCCCGCAAAGGCCAAGGGCAAGGCCGCCACTCCCGCCAACGGTGCTGCTAAGAAGAAGGCCGCCGCTCCCGCCACACCAGCTGCTGGCGGTGCTGCCAAGGGCAAGGGTGCTGCCGGCGCTGCTCCCGCTGCCGGCGGTGCTGCCAAGGGCAAGGGAACCAACCCGCCTGCTGCCGCTCCTCCCGCTGGCGGTGCCCCTGCTGGCGGTGCTGCTAAGGGCAAAGGAACCAACCCACCTGCTGCCGCTCCTCCCGCTGGCGGTGCCCCTGCTGGCGGTGCTGCTAAGGGCAAAGGAACCAACCCACCTGCTGCCGCTCCTCCAGCTGGCGGTGCTGATAAGGACAAGGGAGTTAATCCGCCAGCTGCCGCTCCTCCGGCTGCCGCCCTCCAGCTGCCGCTCCTCCAGTTGCCGCCCCTCCGGCTGCCGCCCCTCCGGCTGCTGCTCCTCCAGTTGCCGCTCCTCCAGTTGCCGCCCCTCCGGCTGCCGCCCCTCCGGTTGCTGCTCCTCCGGCTGCTGCTCCCCCGGCCGTGGTTCCTGCTATCATCCCTCCTGCTGCTGCTCCTCCGGCTGCTGCTCCTCCTCCGGCTACCGCTGCCTCCCCTGCGGCTCCCAACACTGCCAAGGTCCCCCTCAAGCCTGCGGAGCCAGCCGCCCGCCCCGCCCCTGTGGCACCTGCGCCGCCCGCACGCAACGCCGACTAATTTGTCAGTGGCCAGCCATGGAGGGGCTTAATGGGTAGATAAACCGGCACGGGTGCTTGTTGGCTTGCCCGAATCACGATGTTTACGACTATGCGTTTTTATAAAGGCTTGCAACCGCGACTTACGGCGATGAAAATCAGCTTGACCGCTGGGCAGACCGCTTACAACCGCTCTTTGCTTTGCCTTGGGGGAGTGTCGATGTACTGTATATACATAGCCACCAATGGTATATCCCACTCGCGACGAACAATCCTGTGCGTTGCAAAGCTGGATTTGACATGACGTTGCTAGTTGTCTGTCGGTCAATTTCAGATATCGAATGTAGTTGTGATACAGATGTCTTGGCGTTATGATGTCGTGTAGTAGTCACTACGACGACGTAAGCAGTAAGGGTCTCCCGTCCTTTGCGAGTCTTACGTTTCATGGGTTGACCCATGGAAGAAACATGTTTCACTGATGTTCCTGCACCACACTACCTGCTCACGGACATGCATGCAGGTCATCATATCTATACCGCAGGTACCGTGGTACTTTGGCCTCGTCCCAACTCCGTTCATCTGTCACCCGGAGCCAGACTTGGTGTGGAGGAGAGCGGCCCATCTCTCCGGATAACCTGGTCGGCGGCCAGGATACAGCCCTCTCTGATGAATGGAAGGGGGGGATCCGGAATGGCCCGGTTTACTCATGATCGGTTGGGTGAAGTCAGTTAAACACTAGTTGTTGGTCAACTTGGCCGCTTGAAACCGGTCGGGTATTCGTCTTTGTTGCTCGTAACCGCTCGCCCGGAGGCAGCTTGCTCGTACGGACTTGACCCCCCTGCAGCAGTTCAGACTTGTCCGAGGGCTCCGGGCATGGACAAGCCAATGAGAAGCTCGAGACGGCTATTTCAACCCCTTGTCTGAGCGTATGGACCATCAATGCAGTCAATCCACTTTTTTCTCTTTTGCCGCCTGCTCCTCTCCTTTCAGCCTAACCCCATCCGACCCACCAAATTGGCTCTGGCTCTCTCCGTCACGTCCCTCGCGCAGGGAAGAAAATTTCGTCGCCGACCACCTGCAACCCCACGTATCCAAGGGCTAAGAGCAAATTCTGCTCGGCGAGTCCTCAAGCAGCGGGATCCCATCCCGTTGGCTCTCAACGAGCTTGATAATGGCCGGTTGGCCCAATGGCAAGGCGTCTGACTACGATTCCGTCAAAAAGATTCGTGTAATCAGGAGATTCTGGGTTCGACCCCCAGGCTGGTCAAAATCTTTTTGTCTCATTCACCCAGACCAACAGACGAATGGGTGGCACGGGGGCGGGGCTCTTTCATCTCGTCCCTTTTAGTTTTATCCTGCTTCTTTCTTTTTTTGTTCTTTTGCTCTGGTGTGTATGCAACGCAAACCGTCCCAGCTTGGATTAGAAGTAAGACGAGGAAGTTGTTCGCTTGCAAATCACGCATGGCTCTCTATCCATACCCTCCGTCGGTCTTCGTCGTTCCTTTGCTGGTTTCCAGCGACGGAATAATGCAATAGCCTCGAGACCGGTAGGCGCGGAAGAAGCTTGTTAGTCTCGGCTAAGCATAACCGATGACAGAACTCAGCGCGGGACTAGTGGGAAGTGTATTTCTGTGATAGTTTTTTTTACCGGTTCTTTATATACCGGTACCATGGGTTCATTCATTCAGGCTTTCCATGCCAGCTAGCTGTACCACGGTCAACCTCATCTTCCGCAATGTAGCCAGTCATTCTGGCTGAATGTTGATGGCCACTGGCCGAGGTTGGATGTCTCCCCGTGCTAGACCGAAACGACTTCATCTAGTAAGGGATTCCCCTCGTGATACGAGCCTCGGACTCCGGGGGGGGGGAGGTGACGACCACTCTTCGTCTCAGGTCCCGTCCAGAAAACCTCCCTTTTGCCACCCGTCGATTGCAGGGGTCCCTCGCCATGGCCCGGACCAAACTTTCGTACCTGACCCTAAAGGCATTACTCGTGTGCTGGGCAGTCCCTGTTCCGGCCGTACAGCTAATCGTCCCAAAAAACGTGGCGACCACAACCCCGGAACGCCCCCATTGCGTTGACCCATGCAATACGCTTTCCTATCGCTTACCGGGGCTCATCTCAAACCATGTGTATTCTTATAGCGCGAAGACAGCGTCGAAGACAAGGCGTGCTTCGGATTGTTACCTCTTCTTCGGAGACGTTCTGAGAAGGGCAGGGGAAAGGCATCACGGGATAGCTGACGACCACCTGCCGCTCGAGCTCCTATGATGGCGTATCTGGTTCCAAACACACACACACGGCATCATGCTCTGATCATACTCAATGCATAGATAGCCTCGAAAGCGGTCAGAGGACCTCACGGCGCCCTTGGCGTTAAGAACAAAACATATCCCCTGAAATGAGAAGAGAGGAGATGTGCGGAAACGCGTGTTGATTCGATGACGAACGCCGCAGAGCCGGTGTGTCTCCTATAAATCATTGATATAATTTGTCGTATAGTTGGCGGGAAAATCTTCTGGATTACCTGCAATACAGTCCAACTAGTGACAATAAGGAATGGTGCATAATTCATAGAATCAGTATGGATAGCTAACGATAGGAACTGGAAAGCTTCATTCTTGATAACCCAACCCCCCACCTCCGGATACTACACGTCACGAGCCCGGAAGGCGATAAGATAAGCATTTATTTACCATAGGCGAACTGTGCCCTGGGCCCTGAATGAATGCCGTGTTTCAAAGAAATCCTCCGATTGGCTTATAACCCTTGGACATGGGTGACCCTGGTAGTGGTACCTTCCTACCAAGATCTTGTTTTCTCCTTCCTCGGCGACCTCCCCGACTGGTCCTGTTGTCTTGTCCCGAGCTTTATGCCATTCTCTTCCAAGAGGGGAGGGGTTTTCCCTCGTGTGCCCATCACCAAACGACTGTGCGGCATACACATACATTGGCCTCGTTCTCTTGGGATTGTGGCATGTCTGGTTCCAAAAAGAAACCCCTTTTCTCCCGAGAGAAATCCCTTGTGGCATCTAATGTTCCCCGTCACCACCGGCTGACTGATCAACCCTTCAGCATCATCTCACTTCATTGTTACCACGCTTCGAGAAAACCGCCCGGGTTGGTTCAGTGTGCCTCGAATTGGCCTTTGCAATATCTTGAAGGATCGCCATCGGCAGTCTCCGGATCCACCCCTTTGCCGCGCCCCTTTCGAGGCATAGATTCAGACAATCAGTCGCTGACGAGGACTGTATACAAGAATCCCGGTATCAGTGCCATAAACCCTGCATTCGAATAGCCGACGATGCCAGAAAGTTTCCCGCCTTCCTGTTGCGGAATTTGCCAGTTGGGGTCACTTCTCGTCAAACCATGGAGCCATCTCGGGGATGGCGTCAAACTGTCGGCTGGTGCACCTCACCTGCAGTCGTGAGCTACTGCAGGGTGTAAGCCCGTCTTGAGCAGAATGTGACTTTGTTCCAGTGCCGTTGACCTTCTTGATCACCTGGGGGCCTGTTGTGCTCCGTGAGGGAGCAACCGGTTGGGTTAGACTGACGCGATCGAAAGCTGCCAGGACCAGGAATACCGTCTCTAGAACTCCAGCTCTTGCTTTTGTGGGACGGCATCGGGGGGTTAAGAATGTCAAGACCGACAGTCACCCCGGCACAAGCCGACGGATAATGACCAAGTAGCAAGCTTCATGAAGCTTGACCCGGTCCGCCTACCACGACGCGCCGGCGGCGGATGTAGCATCAGCGTCAGGAGAAATCAATGAAAGAACGATGACGGAGTGCTTCATGTTCCCCATCGGCATCACTTTTCAATCGTGTATATTCCAAAGTTTCTTTATTATGCTCAGTGAATCGTACACGGTCGTGATCAAAATCGTATACGCCCGTCCCCGGGCACCGCCATCAACGACACGTCCGTGAACACGTTGAAATCCATAGACCAACCCCCTGCACCCAAAGCCACTCCTAACCGCCCACTGCGCGGCCAACAGCGCCGGCGATTTCCCCAAAGAGAACGCCCTTAAAGACGCTCTCGCCCATGTTCTGCGTCCAGTATCCGGCCTTGGACAGCTTCTCCTTCCAAAGCTTCTTCTGCTGCGGCGCGAGGTTCTCCCAGCTGACGGCGGGCCCGGGCTCCTTCTCGTCGTGAATGGCGGCCTGGAATTTCGGCACGGGGTCCTCTTCGATGTGTGTGGGGCTGACGAGTTCCTCACGAAGGACGATTGAGGCACCCTGGAGGTCGACGTCGCGGGCGTCGCCGATGAGCGACGTGATAAAGTCGTTGGGCATGTTGGCGACGGCGCCGCGGCTGGGAAGGATGCGCGGGGGCACGGCACCGTTAATTTCCAGTGTGATCTGAACGAGGATGGCAAGTAGTAAGACGAGGAAAGCCACGACCGAAAGCCGCGATTTCGTAAGCTTGCGTGGCTGCAGGGCGACGGCATACCGCTGCGGACGGGGCGGGCCGCCCTTGCGGATAGGGACGTCCCTGTCGGTGAACTTTTTGAGGAGGATCGAGTGCACGACGACGGTGTTCTTCATCGATATGCTCGCCAGCTTGACGTACTGGGGGCGCGCTGTGGTCTTGGGCGGAACGTAGACGGACAGGGCGACGTTGGTAATCTGCAGAGGGTGAACCTCCTTCAGGGTCGTGAGGAGATCAAAGTCGACCAGCAGGTCAATGCTCGAATGCGCCCTATGTTCGAGCGTAAAGAGCGATATCGACCGGTCCTGGCCGACCGCGGCGACGAGAAACTGCGCATTACCAATCTTACCGCCCGGGGTCGAGGGCGGGCTCAGGTTGCGCGCGGCGATGGTGGTGATTTGGTTCACCGAGCGAGGCAGCTTTGCCGATGCCGATAGCCGTCCCATCTCGCCCACCTTGGTGGGCAGTCGGATGCCCAACAAGAGAGAGCCAGCCCGCTTGGGGATGTTAGTGCCCGCCAAGATGAAGCCTGGCGAGAGGAAACGGATCGACCGGAATGTGGGCCAGGCACCGGTGCCGTCCTCGCTGATAGTGTAGGCGAGATGAGGGCCGTCGACTTCAGACTTTGTAACCTTGATGATGAAGAGTTCGCGCTCGTCGCAGTAGGCAACTTGAAATTCATCCTCCCCGGTCTGGACGACGTCGATGTCCATAGGCTCCTTTGTAAGGTCCAGCCTTCCCCTGACCTTGGGTGCAGCAGCGCTCGCGGGCGAGACCTCGAACAACGCAATCTGTGACTCTTTAGCCAGGCCGGTCGCCACGGCGCCGAGCTGGGGCTTCTCGCCATATGGCGCAGAAAGCCGCAGGACTCGCTGGTAGGCGTCTTTATCGATTTCGTTATGTTCGAAGAGGGCGGTGCGCGCAAGCTCAGCGACAGCCACGCCGGGCGCAGTGGGGCCGGAGGAGCCGCGCACTTTGCTCTGCTCAACACCGAAGACCCGGAAGTGCTCGTTCTTGCCCTTCTCGACGTCGGCGGGGCTCGAATTGATGCCGGCGTAGACGTAGCTCGTCCGGCCCTTCTTGGGACCGACAGCCAGAGTCATGACGCTATCCTCGTTGCGGCTGAGGTCGGCCTCGCCGCTTATGCGCAACTCGTCCTTGGTCGAAGCGTCGATCACTGTCTGTCGCGCGGGAGAGGTATCAGTCGCACGTCGAGCAAGAGGTGGGGAGGAGGGGATCAGCGTACAATCTTGTTGGCGACGCCGCTTCTGTTGGCGCCGCCGCCGCCGCCAACGAGGAGGCGGGTTGCATCCTGGGGGTCAAACTCGCAGGCGTAGGGGAGGTAATCGAGGGTGATCTTCGCAGACTCGAAAGGGGGTGCCATGTTTGGCGAAGCTGAGGGGGCCCTGCGGTTATCTGGGATTCGGTCTGGGATTCGAAAAAAGGAATTGTTTGTCAAGTACCCGTGCGGTCTGTCAAAGAAACATGGTTGTCAGAAGTTTAGGTGCACAACGTGGAAAAAAGGCGCCGTGATTCTGGAGAATGATGACGTTGGGGCGCGGTTGAAAGGGAAAAATCGAGTTGGCCAGATATCCTTTGCGGAGTTTATGGGGGCAAGCTTCCTCCAGGGATAAGCACCTTTCCACGTGTTAGCGTTAGTGCTAGTGCTATTGTTGGGAAGCTCAGCGGGAGCACCAGGACAGCAGTGCTGTCAGCTCTGGCAAGCGAGGTTCGTCGGCTGCAGACATCCCTGTCCTCCTCCATCACTGCATCAGTGCATTGGCAATCTCCCCCCATAGTTCCCAGTCTTTGTCTCCCCGCCCCAGGAACAGCTGATCGGATCGACAGGCATGCGACCCCGTTCCAGCAGCATGTAACGGTAGTCTATCATCCGATTGTCAACGACAGCAAACAATAGATGGTGCGAAAGAAAGAAAGCATTCATCTTGCTTCACCAATCAACTTTGGTACCAGAAAATCCGATTTCCGATCGTAACTATCATGGCCAAAAGCAGACGCTGGTTGCTGCCTCCCCAAACTTGGGTAGAATACGCTGTCCCCATTTCCATGCCGAAACGCCATGTACCCTCACCGGTAAGATGTGTTGATACCATATGCCCATCGATCCCCATTTGAATCCACCACTTGGTCAAGACTTTTTGGTCTTATTATGCAAATGATTATAACCCCTATTCTTCTTTTATTGGCCTGTGTAGAACTGGTACAGGCCGTGGGGCGGCAAGCCCAGCGCATCAGCCTCGCTGTGAAATTGCATGTTGCCCAATTTGTTCGACTCCAGTGGACGGATGGTCTTGACGTCAGGTGAAGACGACTCCGGTTCCCGACGGGTCTGTGACTGCAGAGCCTGTTGGGCCCGCCGAGTCTGCTGAGACTCGGGATGTTGGTGCTGGGATTCGAAGGACTGCTGCTCGTGCAGAGAGACCCGAGGCTCAGATATATAGCCTCGGGCTTCAACTTCGGTCTGGAGTCGAGTCTCCTCTTCTTCCTGCAAATATCGTTCTCGGCGAGCTCGAGCGGCCTGACGCCTCTTCTTGCCCATCTCGTTGCAATCGTGGCACACCTGATCCCTGAGAGGCGTGTACTGGGGCTCTTGACGATAGATGCATACGGACTCGTGTGCACCCTTCCACTTGAGGCAGCAGTAAGTGACACACTCCATGTGGCCACACGAGTAGGTGTAAAAGACGTTTTGGCACATCCTTGACGCTGATGTCTGCTTCTACAAAATGTAAGCATGCGAGAATCACTGGTATGTGACAGATCAACAGAAGGGGTTTACCTTTGTTCTTCTTCTTTTTCTTTAAGTGCAGTTTTGTAGATCCCGGGTATGTCTGATATATAAACCTTGAAAAACTGCTCTGTGTCAGATCGTGCTCAAAGTCAGCCGTTGGAGTCGACCAGTTCGATGTGGCAAGGGGTACCGAGCTGAATATTAAGGATATGTTTGACTTGTCTAGAGTACTGTTGTAATAATATGGCTTGTTGGGTTCGATCCGATATAAACGAATATATTATGAATCAGGAGACAAGGGTGGTCGTCTTTAGGCCTTGATAAAAGGAGTTTGTGGCGGCGAGGGTTCGTTTGCAGAGTTGAGCCCAAGAAGGAAGGATGTTTTACCTGAAACTGCGGAAAGGGCTCGGTATTGTCCTAGCTGAGATCGGGGTCTATCCCGTGGGGTGATACTTCTTCCCGAAAGTACTAGAATTCCCCAGGTTTGACAATTTACAGGAATGGTATATGACTGTGGTCGAGTTCTATGGTAAGGTAGCTGGGTGTGCTTGAGGAGTGTCAGATCAGAATGTATAAGTAACGAGTGATGATTTCAAGACCTAGCAAATGAGGAATCATGGGTCAAGATGCTATCCTAAAGTTGATGGGAGGAAGGGGTGCACCAATGAGCAACTCACTTGATTTTTTACTCTGCTGCGCGACTTGCTGCGTTGTAGTGTATGAGTGCCACCGAAGAAAGCAGGAGTCAGAAGCAAGGCGTGTGAATGTCGTGAGGGGTGTGGCTCTTGGGTGAATCAATGCCTTCTTGCTGGAGAATGGGTCAGCAGGGGCATTGCGTTACCGAGGAAGAATTACTGTCAGGATGCACGAGAGGGACTGGACCTTGGTTCCTGCCAAGGGGTAGGCAACGAGAACCAAAGAAGATGCTTGCTCGTTGTTTTCGACGTAGCTGTTCTCTGTGCTGCAGCCAATGTCAGTGTTTTCAAATACTTCGGTTTGTGTGCTCTCCGTGATTGTTGTGTGCGAAAAAGTTATCGAGGAAGAAAAGTCCAGGGACAAGGACTCGAATGAAATGGAAGGGTTGTGTTTTCAGGTATCAAGTACTCTCGTATCGGAGATAGGTTTGCTTGAGACGGAGAACTCAAGTAAGCCTTGGTGCCAAGGTGTATGTAGGGCCTAGGCTCGTGGGGTTGAGATCGGAGACAGTGTTGTGATGGCGGTTGAGTAGTAGTTGGGAAGGTGATTTGCCATAGAGATAGCCCCGGGATGGAGGCGGACGCACCTAGACGGAAAGACGGGTGGAAACGACTGAATTACCGGCGGTTGTGACTTCTTCTTGGGGCAGTAGCTTGTCCTAAGGCCGAGATCGAGGTAGAACCAGGCTGAAGCCGTCCAGATTGGTGGCAGGGCTGACGATGAGAAAATGCTCGATAACAGAGGTCCTAGGCCAGTACCTTCATCGGCGGTAGTCGTAAGTATGCGGGAGGATTGTCGGGTAAGCGCCTGGTTCTCCGTGACGGAAGGGTAGCGAGTTTGGCTACTGAAGTCCAGTTACTCAAGATCAGGGTCTGATATTGGGGATGTAACCAGAATGGCAGGAAAAAACCGAAAGCTGTCTTCAGAAGGGCTCTTCCCATGGGTGAAAGAATTGAAGAGGGGCTCCTGCGCGGAGTGTCGTCGTCGAAATTGATATAGAGCTGGCGCACCTTCTGTCACCGGATGACAGAAGGGAGGAAGGAGCGGGCGACACGGCGCTTTATGGTTCAGGATGGTAGGTTTTCTCGAAGAACCTCGGCTGCTCTTCAGAAATCTCAAACTGCAACACAAAGTGATACTATCTCCCGAAGTTAAAATCAACACTTGGGCACCTCATCCGTATCAAATCCATACTAAACACGTCCCGCGGGGGACGGAATTTCTTCAGCGGTTCGGGATTATCAAGCCGTATAATGACATGCAACTGACGTTGTCGCTACACCAAGCATCAAACCTAGACGGTGGAATGAACAACGTCAAATTGTATTCTCATCAGCTTGCTGCTACAGTGCCGCAACATCTACACAGAAGGCCTCACTCCAGCCCCAAACACCCACACACTCTCCGTTCCCTCTCCTCTGCTCCCTAATCCACGAGAATCTTCTCCTCCAGTTCGCCAAACCGCTCGTAGAAGCTCTCAAACAACTTGATTGCGTGCTCGACGTCGGCACTGCCGCCCGTCTCGCGGATCGAATGCATGCTCAGCTGGGGGTTGCCCAGGTCCAGCGTCCGGACGCCGAGCTTGGCGCTGAGCATGGGACCGATGGTGCTGCCGCAGGGCGAGTCGTTGCGCACGACGAACAGCTGCAGCGGCACGCCGGCGAGACGCGCGCACTCCTGCAGCAGCACGATGCCCGGGGAGTTGGTCGCGTACCGCTGGTTCGCGTTGACCTTGATGACGGTGCCGCCATTCATGGCCGGCTGGTGGCTCGACTCGTACTTGCCGGCGTAGTTGGGGTGCACCGAGTGCGCCATGTCGGCGGACACGAGGAAGGAGCGCGAGAGCGTCTGCTCGTAGGCCGTCGATTCGTAGTCGCCGTCGTGGGAGACGGCCACGTAGGATCCGTCCGACGCCGTGTCGCGGCTGCCCGGCAGCGAGGCGAGGCGGCGGAGGACGGCGGGGAGGAGGTTCGAGTTGGCGCCGTGGGCCGAGGTGGAGCCGATCTCCTCGTGGTCGAAGCAGGTGACGAGACGGATCGTCGTCTCGTTTTCAAGGACGTCGGGCTCGCGGACCGAGGCGATGAGGCCCTCGATGGAGCAGTACGTCATGTTGAGGTTGTCGAGGCGGGCCGAGAAGATGAACTCGTCGTTGAGGCCGCCCAGGCACGACTTCTGCACATCGTAAAGGACCAGCTCGAAGTCGATGACGGCCTCGGGCTCAACGTCGGCGTGGGACGCGATGACGTCGAGGATATGAGGATGGTGGCGCTCCGTCATGGCCTTGAGAGGCTTGAAGTCCTCTTCCTCGGCGTCGTCGGCGCCGGGCTGCTGTGCCGGGGCGCCCTTGTTCAGCTCGGCGGTGGCCAGGCCGGCGATGGGGAACAGCTCGTTCTCCTTGTTCGGGTCGAAGGTGGAGCTCCGGTCGAGGTGGATGGCCAGGGTGGGGATGCGCAGCAGCGGCTTGTCGACCTTGATCAGCTTCTGGACAAAGTTGCCGTCGGCGTCCTTGACGAGCACGCGGCCGGCGATGCTGAGGTCGCGGTCGAACCAGCTGTGCCAGATGCCGCCGCCGTAGGTCTCGACGCCGACCTGCAAGAAGCCGACGTTGCTCTTCCTGGAGACGGGCTTGATGCGAAGGGTCGGGGAGTCGGTGTGGGCGCCGATCATGGCGACCGGGTTGCCGGGCTTCCACTTCTTGCCGATGGCGAAGGCGACGATGGACGAGCCATTGCGGGTGAGGTAGTACTTGCCGCCGGGGCGCAGCGCCGAGTTCCAGGAATCGCGTTCCTTGATCTTTGAGAAGCCGGCCTTCTCGAGACGGGCGGCGGCGGTAGCGCAGGCGTGGTAGGCTGGTGGTGGTGGCGAAGAGAGCGCGTTAGTTAGGGGACAGTCTTGTATTGCTTCTTCTTGGGTCGCTGCGAAGACTCACGCGTAGGAGAAGCGTTGACGAAGTCGACAAAGTCGAGGGCAGCTGCCGGAGGAGCCATTGTGCGGGGCGAGTTCGAGAATCGAGCGTGGGAATGGAGGGGTCGAAGGACGGTGAGGGATGCAATGGCGGGGTTCTTGTTCGGTTTGGCAATGTTTCGGCACAAGAATGCAGTGGCCGATAGCATTTACAGGTAGGTCGTAGATATGCTTGTTGCTTGACGGCAGGCAAGCAGGCAGGCAGGCAGGCAGGCAGGCAGGCAGGCAAGCAGGCCAATGATCAGTATGTTCGTGATGGATCTTTTTCTCGGGATCTTCCCAGGTTGTCATGAGGGCAGCTTTCGGCCGCAGTGCTTTCGTTATTGCGTGTCGTCAAAGGCAACCCCGACATTGATCCGGCGCCGAAGCTGGGGTTGTCTCTCTCACCTGCCCAAAATTACAGAGGGTGGAGTGTGGACTGCGAGCCCTGGCTCTGGTCGCTCTGGCGGCGTCGTACACTAACTACGTAAGCACGTAAGTACTTAGTACACTAGGATCAGGTCTTGCAGAACCACCCACAGCCAGAACCCGTCCGGTACGTACCTGCATACCTCGGATGGCGCCCCCCTCCAACGCTGGTGGGGGGTATTGGCATTGGTATTAGTGTGACCATTCCGAGTCTGTAGTGCGTACTAGGCACCGAGGGTACCGGTAGTGTACTCCGTACGGAGTAGTTTACAACCAAGTCCACGATGGATGACCAAGGCACAATCAAGACGAGACAAGGCAAGGCAACGCAAGGCAACGCAAGGCGTCTTCCGAGTGTCGGTGACATCCTGCTCACTACCTTCATCACCGGAAAACTCACTCTATCTACTGATACTCCACAGAGGCAGACGGACGGATTGCGCTCGGATAAATGTTACCAATAAGACTCAATGCTGGTCTCCACCGCGGCTCTCTCCCTCCCAAGGCCCCCCCTTCCTAACCAGAGTTCTCCCCCAATATATCTGGGGGCAAATCCGACCTAGTGTAGAGGCAAATCCGACTCAGCAGCTCCCGTTGTTCTTGGCTCGGCTGCCGTGTCTTGTTCGTCGGCGGACCGCCTCGCCCATCGACTTCACCACCCGTGGGGCTCGCTCGATCCTCATTGGGAAGGGAATTGCACCTTCTCCCCTGGCTGGCTGACTGGTAAGCGACCAGGACGAGACGATGAGTAGAAAAAAAGAAAGAAAGTGGGAGAGAGTGAGAGAGGAGGAGACAAGCAAGAAACATGACAAAACAAGGCACACACGTACAAGTGGCGGCAAAGTCGACGAGACCCAACCCATGTCGACCTGGCGTTGTTGCAGCACGACAGATACGGAATGACCCCCCCCCCCCTCCCCAGCTCTGCAGATCACAGGGGTTTCCTGAATGTACCCACCCACATGTACTACTGGCCATGTACTTTGTATACCTAGTGTGTGTGTGAAAACTACCTGTAGGTGGGTAGTCTGGAGGTATAACTAAACATGCCTTCGCATTACCGACTGTGGGCGGGCGGCGACATCCATTAACCAAACTCCATGTCCTTCGTCTCTCACCCTCCTTTTCATCTTGTCAGCCTGTAAGATTGTTTGATCAAGAAGGAAGAGGAAATCGACAGCTTGGAGACGAAAGAAACAGAGAAACATAGGAAAAGAGAGAGAGAGAGAGAGAGAGAGAGAGAGAGAGAGAGAGAGAGAGAGAGAGGAGGAGGAGGGGTTTGGCAGTAGAGCCGGCATGCAAACTTCGGATGCTCATAGCGCATATGGTGAAACTGTCCCTATCCCCCTCCACCACCATCTCCCAAGAAGCAGACCTGGAGCCCCCCCCCCTTGGGGCTCCGTACCAGACTCTACCAGTTGAGAAGAGCCAAGCTTATTGGCGTGACTCCAAAAGCCATCTTCAACCTAGGGATGCCCTGCAGGTCTCGTCTGTGCGCTCCGCACCTCACCTTCCTTCTCCAGTCTCTACTCAGACTCCCCCCCCCCACTCCATAGCAACATGCTAAGGCCCGACGGCGTACACGTATGTACGGATACAGCTATGTGTGTGTGTATATGTGTGTGTGTGCTGTTAGAGTGCGTGCGCGCAAGAGAAGGAGTGAGGGGGACCTCTTGTGGGTGTCCAAGGTTCGCTGGATCTCTTCTCATCTCGCGCCGGTCCGGCGTGACTTTTGCATCCAGACGGCCCGGAGACCGGCTGCTCTCCCCTCGGTCTAAGAGAAGCTTCCGGTCCACTCTCTGCTCTACGGCCGCCGTCGATTAGCACCGCAGCCGCGCCCTCCATCACTGTCTGTCTGCTCTGTCGACCGCCGCTTTCTTGCTGTCCGCTCCCCACCCTTGTCGACGACAAAACTAGGGAGCAGGGGTATTCCATGACTGAACGCGACCCCCATTTGGCACGCCTCCATCCCTTCCCTCTTCCCCCTTCTTCTTTTTTTTCTTTCTCCCTCTTCTGTTGCATTGAGCAAATGTCAGGTCGCCCCCCCTCGCAAATAAGTGACCGGGTGGCTGACTGACCTCCGGACTCAACGTCCAGCGGCGCCGGTCTATCCATAAGCTAATGGGTTCGTTGTGTTGTCCCCGAGGCGTCTCGAAGAGGAGCCGACCACCGGCGGTGCGCTTTGCAGGTCAGATGGAGGCTGGACGCCAACAGTCATTATTTCTAGCTGCCGTGTAAGGCGCATGGTTTGTGTTGCGCATGTAGGGACGAACCGCGCTTGAGGCTTCTCCCCCATTCTTCCAGATTTCCAGCACGCGCCTACCTGACCCTCTCTCGTATCCTGGCCAAGAGGAAGAGGTTCCCTCACAGGAGTTAGACTGCACATTAATCGAATTCTGAAAGCGCATTCTCCCCCACCCCTGGACATCGGATTTCCGACTGATAGCCACTTGCGACGAACCCTCGATGGCGGTCTCTATCCCATCAGCCCGGCAAACATAAAAACCAGTCTTTCGGCCGTTCGTCGATTTGTGTATGGCCACGAGACATCGTTGACTGTATCGATAGAGCACGTACGTAGTATATAGAGCTACCGCCCGTGCTTCTCCGTTTCTTTGTGGTCTGTGTCTTCCTCCAACAGTGGCAACCAAAAGGCTGGCGGCTCTTGTTGCTGCCTCATGCGGTCCGTTGCACGCGCCAGGCTGAGCGAGGCGACGGTGGCTAGCCATCTCCGTCACCATGTCGGTTCCGACTCTAGCTGGTGCTCATCGATGCATGAGTGTGTGTGAGTGCCTTGGCCGCGACGCCATTCCTCGATCGCCAGAGGGGAAGTGGGCTGTTGACCTGCTGCCAGTATGCTTCATGTCATGTATGTCCTGCAAGGTCCCAGGCTGGAGTGACGTTTCGACCTCGACCTCGAGAGAAGGGGAGAAAGGAGGGGGGGGGAAAGAAGAAAAGAAAAAAAAGAGAGAGAGAGAGAAGATGGCCGCATAGGCGCGCTCGAGTGCGTTGGCTGGCATGGCCGTCACCCGTGCCGTTCAAGCGGGACAAAGGCGTAAACTCTAACGACACCGAGGTCCTGCTTTCGTCCATATCAAGGTCCATCGCGCATCAAAGAGCTTGCCGCTAGAGCCCCCACCCGCAGATGTGGAGAAGAGCACAGAGAACATGTAACGACACCAAGCGCACAACGGGCAATGGTAACGTTGGACAGGACGGCACACATGACTGTCAGAACCTTGAATCATCTCCAAGGTCAAAGGGAGGTTCCAATCATGAATTCCCCTCGGCGAAGGCATAACGGCTGGCCATGGCGGGCTGCCCTGTACTGTACCGTACTACGTTGGCCTTGTCCGAACCCGTTTTGCCCAGACCTTCGTTCATCCATGGATGGCTCCATCGAGAGAGACCGTCTCACGAGTCCAACGTTGGTTGCAATGCAGGTACCGGATGATACACACTGATTCTGGGGTGAACGAGGATAATAAGGCAGACCTCGCGCAGTCGTTCAATGCGCCGCGCGTCTACTTGGTATGGCAGAAGTGTACAGGCCTTTTCTTCTGGTTTTGTCATCTTCCCTCTTTTTTTTTCTTTTTTTTTTCTTTTCTTTTTTTCCTACTTTCGGCCCCCCTGGCCCAGTGTAAACTGATATGACCCTGCACGTGCTTTACACTTATGTCGATGGTGTCTGCCATATGCCCCCCCAAATCTTTCGCCGGCGGCGTCACTTGGATCCCGTGGTCCCTGGCAGCCACTCGGGGTGGGAGGCGGGGGTCCCGGTGCAAATGTTTCCTGCACTAGACTATCCGTAGGACGTCAGGGCCACCACGCTGAGGTTCCCCCTCCTCCATTTTGCTCGCCGCTTTATTTTCTTTTCGCTGACGGCCTTTCTGCCAGCGTCTTGTTCCTGATCGGCCGTGAGAAGCAGTCGATCCCGTGAAGCCCCGGTCTAAACGGTGCATGATGCGTGCAATGAGACGGCCATTGCTGGCCCGACAATCCTGCCCGGCTGAGATGACTCGAGTTGAACCCTGGCGTTGATCGCCTCGAGACACGGGCCAATAAAGCCCAAAGCACTGGCCGACACCTGCAGAATCATGGGCAGGATAGAGGAGTCAGAGGGGAGGCGAGGGAGAGAGCAACGGGCCAAGAAAAGTCTCCCCCAGCTTGTCGGCCGGCTTTGTCTGTGGCAAAAGATTTCCCGAGCTAACTTTCCCCTTCCGCTCCGAGGCGTACACAGTGTACCTCGAGGTCGTGGGCTCCGAGATGTCATAGGAAGCAGGCTCAGCTGTAAGCAGCTCCCTATCCCGACATCATTGGAGCTGCTCGTCATTGACCAAGGGTCTGGTTGATAGCGCCGTTGGCCTTCCCCTGTTAGGCTGAGGTGACCCGACAAGGCACCGCCAATGGATGGGTGAAGTGTGCGAGTGAGGCGATCAGCTCGACCGAGACTGGCTGCTGTCAGCCACATGTGCGCATCGAGTCTACGCCATCACGCCCTCGTCCGTCAGTCTGGTCGAACCCCCCTCCCGGGCGTGCAGCTAGCACGCGCTATCATCGTCTAGTTCGAGCGCCGGCTACCTACCTGATGGAGGCACTGGACAGCTGGCAACGG